CGCCCAAAGGTTAAATTTGTGTTTGTAACGCGCAAGAAAATACAATAGATTAAATTTAATTAAACTCAAATAATACAATACAATGACGAAGATTATACGGTATGGTATTATGAAAGGTGACACCAGCGAAAGAGTGAACAGCTAAATTGTTGGACTAAATCGTCACCGTTTTCACGAAGAGAGAAAAGTGGCCAGAAATCTTCATATTTTCGAAATTCTGTTTTTGGTCTTAATTGAATAAGTGAACAATAACGAGCATCCTGGCAAACTTTTGTTTTGTCAAAATCAGTTTAAATCAATGAAATCACGCTTTTGTCTCTTCGTGAAAACGCTAAAATGTGTTTTGCCCTCCCCGCAGTCACTTTTCTCTCTTCGTGAAAACATTACGCACTGTACGCGCAGTGGCGTAGTGGGGTAAAATGCACTTTCGCTCTTCGTGAAAACGGTACGTGCAGTACGCGCAGTGGCGTTGTGCAGTAAAATCATATAGCTCTAGGGCAAAATGCACTTTCGCTCTTCGTGAAAACGGTCAAGTCGATCTAGGGCAGTGTTTTTCCCTACATTTGCGCATTAACCGTGTACACAACTATGGGTAGATGAGCAAACGCGCGTTATTTTGCCACTTAGAAGATTTTGGTTTCCGCAATTATGGTCTCTTTTTTGACAAATCGTGGGTTCTCATTCGTATTCCTCGGCATTTTTTAAATAACAGATGCAGGTCGGTCGGCAAGATGATATGCATTATTTATTGTGTGTTACTGCAGGACCTGAAGGGAGCTTTCGGGTTACTGACAGTAACTTTTTTTGTTTACAATCGTACAGTTTTTCTTTCAATTTTTTTTCCCCACCAAAGTAACTACAAGAGGATTCTTCAGCTTACTGATGGAATATTGATTTTGTCTGATACCATAAACGGAAATAGAACAAAAGGAAGTTTTTGTGACAAGGACAGTACTGGATTGTCATTTACCTTTGTTTTAGTGCACCTTATTTGGGGGAGGCGTGCGTGAAACGATGGAAAATATGGCTTTAATTGAAGATGTTTTGAGTAATGAGGTGACTGCTACACCGCTAAAACGTGCTATTTTGATCATTTTTTTATGTCTCATAAGCACTCCAAATGAAAACATGTCAATTATTTCAAAGTGTTTCTGTTCATCATTAAACTTTTTGTAACAATGTATACAGAAAACGATCAAGATAAATACTCAGAAAATAAAACTCGTCAAAAAGCAGCATGCTAATGTGAAGATTTCAATTGCCAGGAGGACGTTTTGGAAACTTGCACAAAACAAGTGCTTTGATCATTTGTTATTAATAATACTAGCTTGTATTTGTGGAATGCTTCTCAAACAGGGGGGGGGGGGCATCAATAAAAGGCGGCACTTCCTCAGAAAAAAGGCACCTCCCGTCAGTGTGAAAGAAGAGAAAATTATGAAACTGTTTTCGTTCACATTGCAAAAAAAGTTACTAGCAACAAATTTACTAACAGCGAAATACACTTTTTGAAATGTTTGCGTTAAACTTTTTTACATTTTAATTTCCTAACTCAAAAAATTGACAGTATGCTAGCCTTTTCCTGACTTTTTTTCACTTGAGAGAGACATTCGGCCTCCAGCACACCCCGGCAGTAACCTCTCTGGGTCCGCCCTTAAATTTGACTAGCTAAGCCTATGCAAAGGGACCCGATTTGTTATCGTGAGAGGGGCAATGTTGCTTTTGATGGCCGGTAAGTAACCATTTTTTTTTATCGCGTGAGGAGCACTTTTACATGTTTTTTTTAAAGGCCAGTTTTCCATCTTGAGAGTGGCACAGTATAATAATGTTGCGAGCAGGGTACTTGTCATGTTTTCGCGGGGCAGTATTCCATCTCGATAAGTTGTTGGCACTTTTATTTTTGATAGCCAATTTCAAATCTCGAGAGGGGCACAATTTTAGTATTGCGAGAGGGGTATTTGTGCTTTCGAGGGGTAGTTTTCGCTATCGAGAAGTTTTACAAATCTGGAGAAGGTTCACGCGAGGGGTATTGTGTTTTTGAGGGGCAATTTTTCATTACATGAGAGGAGACAATATTTAAGCGCAATCATGATTATGCTTTCATGACTTCGTAGGGGCAGTTTTGTTTTCATCTCGAATGGGCACATTTACGGACCCAGAGAGGGGCACTTTTGTTGGCCGGGGGGGGGGGGGGCAAGTCCCCCTTCCCCCTAGTTCTGCCGCACCTTGGTGCCACATTTCACGTCTCCTCAATCTTGTAATATTTTAATACGGAAAGAGAGAAGTACACTCAAGACATGGATTTAATACATTTGTACATCTCTTCTCCTTTGCCGATTGCCTGCTCATGACGAGAGGTGTTCCTGCTATACTGATACCATTAGTGGATACCACAACCATTTAATTTAGAACTGGCTTGAATTTAAGCCAAATAGGCCTTTATCATTATTTATCAAGGTTTCTGGACTGAACTTTAAAACTGTTGTTGTGTTTACAATTCCGTAACGTGAACATTACACGAATGACTTGATTATTATTCTTGCACTAAAAGAAAGCTGATGAATTGGGCTTTCATATCCTAGATTTTGAAAGTGCTACATGCAGAACTTAATTCCCTTTGTTTCACGAAAGCCAAAAAAAAATTTGGAAAAACAGTAAAATGAAAATGGCAAATGGCATGTAATGAAAACTTCATTTTGATAATATTTTGCGTTCATGGTATCAGACAAAATGAAAAGTCTATCACTAAGCTGAAGGGTACTCTTGAAGTAACTTGATCATAAATGTGTGGAAACAAAACAAATAAATGAGAACAGTTTAAATGGAAAAAAAAAAACTGTACAAAATTAATGTAAACAAAATATACCCAGTCCCATTGACCTAAATTTTCCATCACACAGTAACCCGAAAGCACCCTATAGCTACTGCAGTAACACATAATAAATTACGTCATATAATCTTATTGCATCTGTTACACGGCCGGATAAGAGACTAATGATTTGTCAAAAAGACCATAATTATATTTTACGTGGAAACCAAGTTGCTTTAAGTTTCAAAATAATGCGTGTTTCCTCATCTACCTTAGTTGTGTACACGGTTAATGCGCGAATGTAGGGGAAAACACTGCCCTTGATCGACTTGACCGTTTTCACGAAGAGCGAAAGTGCATTTTGCCCTAGAGCTATATGATTTTACTGCACAACGCCACTGTGCGTACTGCACGTACCGTTTTCAAGAAGAGCGAAAGTGCATTTTACCCCACTACGCCACTGCGCGTACAGCGCGTAATGTTTTCACGAAGAGAGAAAAGTGACTGCGTGGAGGGCAAAACACATTTTAGCGTTTTCACGAAGAGACAAAAGTGTTTCTTTGCTAACTAACCAATGTTAATTAATTCTTTTTGGAAATAATTTAATATAGGTTTTCCCGGACAATTTCGGAAAATGTGTACACGAATTTGTAAAAGAAGCATTCGTTTTCGTGCGAAATAGAATGAACGTTCCAAATCTCTGTTTCTATTTAACAAATGATAATTCTTTTTCCGTGAAAGTGCATTCAGTCGTAAAAAATCAGCGTACGATTTCCCGAATATGCACTGCATTTAGTGTATTGACATTTCATTTTAGCGCGAAATCGAAGGCACATCTGCAATCCTGTTTTCCTTTTAATTTATCATCAATCTTTTTCGCTAAATGTGCAGCCGATTTCCCTCGCAGTGTTATTTAACGTATGCCTGGTCAAGCATTGGAAATCATTTATGTGTTAAAGTAACAGTTGAGGAATGGTTGATTGAATGATTGAATTTTTGAATATTCACACAGTCCCCATGCAGATCCCATGTAACATGACACGTGATGTGTCCCTTTACCGTCTCAATAATATGGCTACAAGATTATTTTGAGTGATTTCATATTGGTCATATCATATATCATTTTCACACTTCATTTGCCTACATTTCACATAGGCCTTTGTGTATATAAGAACAAACACATTAATGATCAATAAGGCATACATTGATTAATTAATGAATAATTAATTAATGAATCAAAGTTGTATCATGATTTGTATAGGCCTGTATAATTTATTTAAACTGAATGCAGCAAATGCGAATTTAAATTGTAACAAATGAAAAAGAATGTTCAATTCAGCCTGTGTCACAATAGACAATCGATTTTCTGCGAATTGGATTGCACATTCGTAATAATCGGCAACGCATCCGTCAAACCGAAAGCCTAATCACGTATTTGTAATCCCTTAAATGAAACGTTATGCACATTCATTCATTTGATTGATGCAAAATGAAATCGAATGCTAGTTATTGCGAAAATGAAACAGGGATGTACGTCGTTCTCAAACTCGGCGCGAAATTGAATTTATGTTTTACAAATTCAAACGCACATTTTCCGAAATTGTCCGGGAAAACCTATAGTTTTTAGTCATTCAACATCTGGTCTTTTGTGTGGTAACATTGGTGAATTAAAAAGAGTTCCGGGTAATAGGGAAATGTGCGATGCAAAAAGAGACCAACTTCAAATGCGATTTTCTCAAAACATGCTTTTCACTTAACGGGCAGACTTTTGTCTCTTCGTGAAAACGGTGACGAAATGTCGGTAAATGTCACAGTGGAAACTGGAATAAATTCAATTCAATTGCCATTGAAAAATACACATACATGCATCTCTCCTATTTATGCTAAATAGACGCGCTTCATTAATTCAAACGATCGAGAAATTATAATGAACCACGCACTGCAATTAATGTGATCGTAAAATACTACCCTACCTGAAAGCCATCACCGCGATTGTAGTACTACACAGCTGCGCATGCTGTATAAAGGAAATAAATGGCTAATGATGACGTTACAGAACTTAAAACCACGACTTGTATATAGCCGATCGGAATTTTTGATAGTGTGACACTACGCTAGTCTGAAGTACTGCTTTGACAGAACCTAACACTAAATTGGTAAACACTTCTTGTTTTATGTTGACATTTTTGGACAGGCCATGGAGCTTCAAACACACGAAAACGGCAACATGGAGGGTACGCAGAAAAATGCAAATAGTCAGGTGCCTTCTCCAATGGAGACTCCGCCCAGAGGTTTGGCAACTCCAGAGGAAGCGGTTGATGCCGACGGTGACCAGCAACCAGCGAAGAGCAGGTTTACATCCCACCAGATAGCCACCATTGTGGGCACCATTTTGGCCGCGTTTACTAACATGATGGCTTTCTCGGTCATCACGGTGTTCTACCCTATTGAGGTAAGTTCAACCCGCGTAGCCACGGGGGGGGGGGGGGGGGGGGCACGGGGCCCAATAAATTGGCCGTGCCCCCAGGTCCCCCACCAAAATACTGATAATGCCCCTCTTCCTTCCCCAACCAAAAATACTTTTGTAAGTTGTATTGTTTTTAGTTAGCCAAAGGCTAACTGTTTACAATTGCTTATGTCAAGCAAGAACAAGAGCGGATCCAGAACACATATTTTTTTTGGTTTTTTTTTTTTTTTGGGGGGGGGCAAAAAAATGTTGGTCCCCATAAAAAGTGGGTACACAAAAATTACGGTGTGAGGTTCGGGTCCCCCTCAAGAGGCCCAATTTTTTTTTTTTTTTAGATTCAAAAAGCTCTGTCGTGCGATCTGAGTCAATTTCTTACCACAATTTTTTTTAAACGGAAAAGATGTTGGTACGGTGTACCAACATTTTAGGGGGGGGCATGTCCCCCGTTGTCCCCCCTCCCTGGATCCGCCCTTTGCTAAAAGGATCGGCCGTTATTAGGATCCTCTAATTTTGTTTAAATCAATGTATCGTGCAAGCCCCATTATTGAAATGAGTGAATGGATGCACATGTATCATTTACGACCAAGGACATTAAAGCCCGAGTCGATCATTTGCAGCTATCCAAAAAAGTAACTGGCGTAATTATTGTTGAAAAACATACTGGTTGAAAGATAGTAAGGGGACTAAACTCCCTGTGAAATTATCCTTTCTGGCGAGCTCTCATTTTGAAGAAATCAACGAAAGAAGGCATTTCCAACGGTGCGTCTTAAGAAGCACCGTAGGAAAATTTAAATCAGCAGTTCGTTTTGTTATTCGGCGCAGCGCCCACAAGCATTGGAACGACACACAGGCGCGCGCGGTTGCTATAATTCGTCGGATCAGTGCGCGACATCGCGTAAAGCTGCAATTAAAAACAATTCGAAACATGATTTAGCAACTTTTGATTTCAAATTGAGATCCTAGAATGCTGTTTTTCTCGGAATATAAAGCTGAAGCTGAGCTGAAACTTCATCAACTAAGTTGTTTAGTATCCTTCATTAGATTTTGAACACTTTTGTTGCTTCAAACGAACAAAATGCACTAATTACAAATGATGGACTATAGCTTTAAACAACAGACGAGTACCCTGTTACAATCTAGTCCCGGTTACTAATTGGTAGTATGATGGTTGCTAATATGGTAGTATTGCGCTTGCGTAAGTAGGATAACACGATATTTTTAGGATCATGTTAGACTGACCTGTCGCGTGCGAGGGATTTACCAATAATAAGGAAAAGGAGTCCGATTTTGATTTGAGTCAGATTATCATAATGACACCGGCGTTCGATTACTTCCTCCGGCGCTTATCGTGCACGTGCGACTGCGCTCGATTTAAAGGGCCATTACGGCCAGAAATTCCCGAAAATGTAATGTTTTTTTTTTACTTTTCCTATTTCAAAGGTCTGGTTGAATGAAAACTGAAATATGGAAACCATTTGACTTCAGCGTACCAGATTTTATTCAAATTTAACTCGCAAATGGCTTATTCCTCCATACTGCTGTTAAAATCTGCAAGCTTCAATAACACATTTTTTTTTAGATACATGTAGTTGATTGAAGGATGAAATCCGCTTTTTAGGGATTCATTATATCAAATGGTTTTCCTGTCACTTTGCAACAGGCAAAGAAAAGGGGAATATCACAGACAGTTATTGGGATGGTGTTCAGCGTATTTTCCTTGTCATACGGCATAGGATCGCTCCTAATAGGCAAAATGGTAAGTCCCTGTTTGGTCTAAAAATTCAATAAGACATTATTTAGGGGAACGCAAAACATCTCGTGTTTAATCTACAACATCTTTGAATGAGGAATGTGGGCTAACAGTAGACCTTTCTTTTGTTTGTAAATATTGGCGCCATTTTATATGGGCTGTCACAAGCGCATTAATTGAAGCCGTGTTTGGCAACATATTAAAAAGAAGTCCCCATAATGCCATCAATACACAGTAAAAAAAGAATGTGTAGGAATTGTGTTGACGCTTTGTTGACAATATTGTATTTCTAACAATCTAGTAATAATTGGGTTTTCTGTAAAATTCTTCTTCGTTTTTGCAGTGTTGTACCTTTCGTAGTTTTGCATCCCGTAATTTTGCCAACCAAGCGTAGAAAGGTCTATAGGAACAAAAATAAAACCGACCATTTCTTTCAAAAACTCTGTTCTCTACTCGCCAAAAGATGGCGCTATTTGGTTGTTAGCGCCCTCTACCGGCTCATTTTCCCTTTTTTGCTAATAGTCATTGACTTTAACATTACATGTACATGTATATGCTTCTTAGATACCAATCGTTGGTGCCCGTTTCGTGTTTCTCGCCGGTTCATTTTTCACGGGAGGATGTAACATTCTGTTCGGGTGAGCATCAATCTCTTCATGTTCTCTCCTCTTTTTTTTTGCTTCATGGACCGTATTCACGAGGTAGCCATTTTTGTCATGTTCCCTAAGTGTATTTCATGAATTGTTAACTGCTGAATGGGGTGGCGCCAGACTATTAATGCATCCTTATTTTACTTTCATTTTTTTTTTAATCTTGTTTAAAACATTAGGGAATATGTAAAATTACGAAGTGTAAATTATTCGTTTAACCCTGCGGGCTGCGCAGGGGCTTACGCGCTAGGCACTTTTTTTTTTCTTAACTTTTTTTTATGAAGCTATCACCCAATTCCCTTGAAACTACATGTACATTGTATTTCTAAAGTGAACCTTGTGGTTTGAGATGGTATGGTCGCTTTTCTTGTAGGAGTTCACTTGGGGGTCAGCCGCCCCTGGGGAAGTTGGGCCTCCAGCCAAAGCCCATTCACTTGTGCACAAAAAAAGTATCTGTGCTTTACATACCGCCGTCACAACAATGTCATCAATCATCCTCTACTGCTGGCCCAGTGACAGCTGTCTAGAGCCACAGAAAGGCTGTCTCGACTGTTTCATGTCCGTCTTTTTTGGGGGATCCAACATGTAATGGTCGATCCAACATGTAATGGTCAAGTCAATGTAATGGTCACAGTGCATGCAGTGTATAATTATGTACATGACTGTGCAGCCACAATGTCTGTGAGTGACCTACTGGAGGGGATTCAATCTTGTGTGGGTTCGGAGGACCTGCATTCATAATATTTAGACTATTAGAGAAAGGATTGTGTCCACAAAATAGTATTTTATACGCGAAATAAAAACTGCCTCACGCGTGAGCACCTCAGCTACGCGGCGTAAGTCTTTACGCTTCGCAGCTCGCATGGTTAAGCAGACTTGGATTATTTAGTAATGTTCCTGCTCTCAATTCTCTGCCCAGGTTCCAACGATTTTACCTCACTTTCAATTCAATAAGGCCCATTAGGCTACAGTTTAACTTTTGACAACTGGGGGAGCACTAACCGTTTTCTGTCCTATGCTTTAACACAGGTTTATTATCGACATGCCCACAATCGCTACTTTCACTGGGTTCAGTTTCGCCATTCGCATTTTAGAGGGGCTCGGCTCGGCTGCTGTGCTGACGGCATCAACGGCCATCGTAGCTTCTGTATTCCCTGACGATGTTGGCAAGGCTGTGGTATAAAAAGTTAATTTCATGGGCAATTATATTACATTTGAAAGGTCCCGCGTCCGATTTGACCCGGAATCCCAGTCATATTTTGACCTGATACTTTTCCGGGTAAAAACGACATGTTTCCCGGGTCAAAATGACACTTTTCCAGATCACAATGACCCGAAAAATGACCACCATACTAATTAAAGGAAATAATGCGTGCATTTATGAGTATGCCTGGCCGTTTTTACACTATTTTTTTAAGACCAATTCGTTTCTGGATGCTGATAATTTATACCCGAGCCGAAGTCTAGGGTAATTTTCAGCATCGGTCAACAAATCAAAACGTTTCGGTCCAAAAGTCAAAACAAGTCCAAAATTATAAATGTCCAACGATTTTGTTCAACATTTTAACTTCATGTTTTTCTGACACCCCTTTTACTGTATTATGGTGTGTCAAGTCTCGCAAGTCGTAGAAAAAAAACCTCCTTATATGGAGTTTGGCGAGCAGGTCGCGCGTAGCGCGCGATTTGGCGCAGAACGCAGCTGTGCAAGTAATTGTGCATTGAGTACTATGAAATACTGACTCACTGGTGGTATTGCGCATGCCTACGTGAGGATTGTGAACGTTGAATCAATAAAACGGCAAAAGGCACCAGATTTCATAGGAGTCCAAATTCCATGTGACACTGGAAAAAGTGTTGAAGACCAGCCAGCCAGTCCTTATCAAACGTTTAAAATCGGCCATGTGACGGGCTCTCGAACAATAGGAATGGATAAACTGTCTTAGGTATGTGTATTGAAATATTCTGTCCTGCAAGGGGCAAACGTAAACTTGTATTCCGGCAGAAAAGTGACGACTTTTAGATTGGAGTAAATCATTCGCACGCGATCCGCGCATGCTTATAGTTGATTAATAAAGCACAAATCACTGGACGCGAGTTTACACCTCAGAGCACCTGTTTAGCTTCAGGTAAACTTATCTTTTTACATTGGTGCCCCCTTCTTAAATCAACAGAGTCTGGTTGAGACGACTGTCGGCTGTTCTTTTGCAATTGGGCCAGCAGTAGGCGGCTTGCTGTATCACGTAAGTATGGAAAAATTGCAATCGGAGTTAATGAGTTAACGCAATGAGTGCAGTTGTTTTCTGTACAAAAAAAAATAATAAAAAAATAGTGAAGAGACAAATACCACCTCCTATAATTTCCAGTCAATTGAAAGAAGCTGCACGTTAAAAGAACTGCACGTGACATTATTTTTGCCTTGGATGAAACCAAGAACAAATTTTTAGATTGAAGTAAAGTTGCCAAAGTGCTTGAACTTTTTATTAAATGTGATATTGTGTTATTGTACCAAGAAAACGACGTCTTCCCAGAGTCCAAACTTGCTCAACATACGGTAAGGGGAGTGAGGCGCCCTCTGTTGTTTGCATACAGAGTCAACAAACAAACAAACAAACAAACAAACAAACAAACAAACAAACAAACAAACAAACAACAAACACCCCAATGAACACATGTGTAATGGTTTTGTTGATTTGTCTTACCAGGCTGCAGGATTTAGAATTCCTTTCTTCGTCCTTGGTGGTATCGTTCTGTCGACCGTTGTCGTCAATTGCTTCTTGATGCCTAATCAAGGTTTGAATCTTTAAAACCAATAAAATGTGGATATTAAAAAAGGCTGATAGAGCGATTGCATTCAGTGGCCATCTTTGAGGTTTTGGTTTACTCAAGCGTAGTGTCCCTGTTGAACAAAACCACACACCTCAATAGATGCGCTGCAACTGACGATCTATAAAATATGAGGTACAAAATGGTGCCAAACTCGTGGGCGAAGATGCAATTCCCGAATCCGTGTAAACTTACCTCAAGCAATCTTGGATTCACGTCTGTTGTTTTACCGCCCTAATGGGAAGACAGCGCCCTCATTGGCTGAAAAAAATGACCAATCAATGTTAAGCTGCAGTTAGCATCAGATTATAACCCCGGACATCAGTGATTAAATAAAACACGTAAAGCACCAAATTTGTATTTGCATTAATCGTACATGGGGGTACCAGACCAAATTGGGCGCCAGATTCAGGTTGTTGTTCCCTGCCGACTCCGTGCAATGTTATTTACCATTTCTGATCAGGGAACGAGGCTGAGGAGTCTGGTTCTGTGAGCCGAGTGCTCAGCATACCTGCCGTCTGGATTGCTTTATTCGCCAACTTTGTTGGCTTTGCAGCCTACGCGTCCCTGCAGCCAACTCTGGCAATTTTTCTGGACGAGGTAATGGAGACAAAATTGACATTTTCTTCAAATAACATTTTTTTTTAATTAAGATATGCAAGGTCTGTTTAAGTGGCAACGTTAAAATGGGCCATTCATAGTTTTGATGATATCACCTTCGGTGTGTGTAAATTGTCTGTCCTTGTGACCGAGTTTAACCGCGCTTATGTTGTCACGTGACCACAAAAGTCGTGATCTTATTGGTCAATGCGCACTGTTTGATTAACAGGCAGGAAGAGTCCATCCCTACTCGAAAGTTTCCCGTAAAATACTTTTGAAGATATTTTTTTCTATACACATTTTATTTGATTAACACTTTCTTCTTGATAGCTTAATTTTAGTGTGATGGCGATAAGTCTGCTCTTTGTTAGCTTGGGTTTGGGCTACGGCTTATTCTCAGTGATCTGGGGTGCCATTGCGGACGCAAAGGTAAGAGCAAACGTTAATCGGCAGGGCTTGTGTGTGTGTGCTAAGACGTTACTTTCAATGACAATGGAAAGACAATGCATCGCTCCGAATTTGACACAAAATGTTCGAGATTATTTTGTAGCAGGATGTAACTTATTATAATTAGATGGAATTTTGCGTTGGGGTGATATCAATCAAATTAGGTTTTTGCCCTTCACCGACGTTTAAACACTGTATACTCAGTGTGTTACCTCCCAGTGAGAGTTGGAAAAAAATGACTCGGGTGGGACTCGAACCCACGACCTCCTGCTTTCTAGTGCAGATGTCTTACCACTCGACCACCGAGCTAACTGGATCGGTTGGCTGGTTTGGATCTGTACATAGCAGCGGGTACCGCATAAACTATTATAAGTGGTGAAGGGCAAAAACCTAATTTGAAGGATATAACTTCATACTGATAATAATAATAAAAATTATAAGAAAAAGCTCAATATTAAAACTGGGACTTTTTGTGTTAATTAATTTGAAAATTTTGATTTCCTCATGTCAGAAATGCGCTAGAACACTGATTGTAGTAGGTGCATCCAGCAGCGGGGGACTGTTTCTGCTGTTAGGGCTACCACAGATTTTGCACTTGCCTGTGTAAGTTTACCCTTCAAAAATCGGTTAATGTTAGGAACACCTCGAAACGCCTCACGCAGCGTTGCGTCCAGAACTGGTGCGTTATAGCAAACGTTCTTATATGGGACAACTCGGTGTTTTCAGCAGTATGAACCAAAAAAAAGTTATTTCCTTTACGAACAAAACACGTTAGTCACAAAACGCGGAAGAGTTTTCAGATCGTTAAGTAACGTTCCTGTTTTAACACATTTGCGAACGTTCCTGTATAATTATCAGTCGGAACAGCTCGGAAAACGTTTACACACCTGAAACGTATCTCCTACAGGACTGGGGTACTTCCTGGCGTTACCATACCCATCGCAGCCGCAACGTTTTCCATGTTGGCTACTCCAACGTTCGTAGACATGTTACGTTCTGCAGAGTAAGTGCAATTACTACACTGTTTGTTTTTAACTCTTGTAACCGTTTATAATAACACATTATTGCTACATAACTGAAGCACAGAAAACTGCTGAAAAAAAACATTCTAAAAAAAAAAGCAAAAACAAAAACAGAAATAACAGCCATCAGTGTTTTAATGTCCTTAAAACCCAATTGGACTTGGTCAAAGAAATGATGCACTCGTTCAGAGTGATATGCATATGATATGCATATTTAATTCAGAGATATGGAATGCCTTTTTTTTTGCTCACTTTGTGTTTAATGTATATATGTATATAGGCTGCTGTTTTTTGTTTAAAAAAATCACCAGGATGAATAACAAGTCCAAGTAGCTCAGTAAAGCTTGTACAGAAGTTACACTATTGTACTTGTGAAAACAGAAGTTTTCAATTGATTGGATTAATACAATGTATAACCTCAATCCTACAGGTGGTATGGCATACCGAGTGGATTAGGATTGACTGCTGTTATATCTGGCCTTTGGAACAGTGCGTACGCACTCGGGTAAGAGGGTCAATAAGCCACCGTTGGTGGCGCTGTTTGCTGAATGCCTGAAAGCGAGGTCCTCGTGCTCTCTTTTTTTTCTGATAAGGATTTACCAAGCAAGGGGGAAAAGTCGCCAGTGTAAATCAATGGTGAAAGCTTACACAGCCTCGGTTTGGCCGAAAGTTTGAGCCAAAAAATCCCGCTTGCGCAGTGTGTACTTCCTTTGCAACTTGGCCAAATAGTGCCACCTACAGTTCGTGCACCGAATGCATTCTGCTAAAGATTTTTTTATTTAGATACGACCATGTTCTCCACATGCTCCTTCTCCTCCTTCTTCATGCTGCCAACATAGTTACATAGTACCTGTATAAGTAAAATTAACAAAACATGAGAAAAAGGAACAGTTGATACAATAATTTGGTTACATACTTTTTCCATTGGCCTTTAAAGGGAATATACATCATTTGCTTTTGCTGTAATTTTCAGAAATGGATGGAATTGGGGGGTTGGAAATATATAGAAAATATAGTTACACTGACTTTTTTGAGGTTTTGGGTCCGAAAATACTATAAAAACCAAGAAAAACAATCAATTTCCCGTAGTCTGGTTCCCTAACTCCATATAAGAAGAAACAGAGCAGTTTACATACATTGGGGAACTGTAAGGTCAGGGAACCAGTCTAGCTGGCTTGTACCCGTTCATAGGTGTGTAATCGATTGCAAACAAGTGCAATTGTCAATTGGGGCCAGTATTTGAAAATAAAGCCAGTCTTTTCCAACGCTGGTCGGCCGACCAGCGTTGGAAATTGATACAAAAATACCTTTAAATACTTTTCTTGAAAATGACACTATACCAGGTGCCATGAATTTACAGGATGCTTTACACTGTCATTCACTAACAGTCCAGCAAGGTATTTCAAATTGATTTGGTAGTTTTATTTTTTGATGTTTGCAAATGTTGTATTTTCCCTTTAATATGTGTATCATCCCACAAATACAGTAATTTCTTTCATACTAAAGATAGTGTATATCTCTTGAATGACCACCAGAAATGGACACAAATACATTTTGATTTATCCGATTAGCTCATTGACGGGCCCGTTGCTAGGGGGCGTCATCACAGAGTATTACGGGTTCGGCTATTCGATTATGACCATCGCTTGTACCTCTTTCGCTGTTTTGATCATCACGTGTCTTTTTGGCATCTGGGAGTTTCGATGCGGAAAAGGGTAGGTTGCACATAAACACTGAGAACGTAAAAGGAGGCAGTACTATATAGGTTAGTCCTTACAATATCAACACTTATCTCCTGAGCGCCCCTATTTTCCGTTTTTAATAATCTAGAAACGTGGTACCGCAGTCGTAAGCAAACTTCAAACCCTGGTTCTGCTAAGGGAAACCGCAGCGGGGGATTAGCGACTAGACCAGCCGTCCACTGCGGCGATTATTACAGTTCCATTGAATTTATTTATACAGATCGGCGAGATGAAAATAACGCTGTGTGGAAGTCTTTTCAAAGGTACATTGATGGGTGAAGCTGAAGTGTGTTGCTTGAATTGGAAGACGGGAGCATATACCCGTTTTGGGACAAAAGGTCTGTCGTTGACAAGCTGCAATATAATGCCCGTAGTTCTGAAAAGCTGTCGTTGTAAATGGGTTGAGAACAATGATTTTCCTCGCATTGGGTCGGCCAAAATCGTCGTAACAGTCGAAGTCTCGTTATGTCCGTGCACGTAATAACCAAATATGTCCCAATAGTTATATACACACATTGATCGGGACTGGGAGAATGTGTTCGTTACAGTCGGGATTTTGTTATGACCGAGCTCGTTATAACGGCAGTCGATTGTATTTGTCAATATAAACACAGACTTGAAATCTTGCATACCTTTATCCACAAGCACAAGCCGAACGAATAATGACGGTATATAGCGGCTGATAGCGCCCTCATGAGACAATTTATGGAGAACGAGGTCAGAATGGACCACCGTGATTGGAAACAACGTATGACTTCCTCAAACAAAGGTCATTTAAGCCGATGAAGTGTGAATTTAAGACTCTTTTATGATATAAGCTCTGACAGAAGCTTCTACATATTACTTAATACTTGATGGTCGGATCGGTTGGTCTGATTTGTCTGTTTTTCTCGACAATTGGCCAACAGGTTTTTGCCATATTATGTGCCACCGGCGTCGCATTTTTCGGAGTCACATTTTTCGGCGTCGCCTTTTTAAGGTCTGACAGGGATCGTTTTAATCGATTTCTTCAGTGCAAGACTTTCCTGCATTCATGCAAGACTTATTCTTGCAACAGCCAGTGCTTATTGTGCACACGTACACGCGGGGTTTAACCAGTGGGTATAAAAGGAAACCGATTTTCATTGGAGTCTAATTTTCATATGACACAGCGTTCATTTCCGCACGTGACACTTCAGTTTGACTAACCCACAATTCTGTGCGTTTCCGAAAGAATATTCATATTGGACACAGACTTGAGATTTGTCTGCAACGTACACATTTGAGTCACGAGTTTTCTCACTCAAAATGTAATATCCACTGACATTACTCTGGACAATTGTAAGTTAAAAAGTCTTTTCATTAAGTGAAATTTGCAATCTTGAACATTATACAAGCAAAAGGTAAATCTGGCTCCTCTTAAAAACTTGTACATTTTGATTTGTATTTACCTTGTAGGAGGCGGGAACCACGCGAGGCTTTTTCTTCGGAGGACAACTCGAATGATCAGGAGATGAGACTACTGTCTTCAAAGTAGATTGACAATTGGTATAACTGTATATTAACCATCTTGCTGCAAATGTCCAGCGTAACTGGAATGTTTTTGTTTCTTTTCGTTACATACTTTTATGGTTGAGTTTATCTGGGAGCCAACTGGACTTCCAAATATGGTTGTGCCCAAACTTGGGAGATGACATGGATTCAGGAATGATTATAAGCTCGCATGACAGGGGTAGTAACATCACACGCTTTTGTATTATTCAACTAAACTAGCGGGGTGGAGTCATACACGTACTGTACTTATGTTTACTTTGACCTCAATTTGCATGTTGACCACAAGTGGGCGTGGTAAGTCTTGTTGAAAACATGCAATATAAGACAATTACATTGCACCTGAAACAACAGTACAACAACCCATCAGTATCTAGTGCTGAATCAACTGTGCCAACAAAAGAGAAACATCTGGCATGTCTGGTAGGCCTATAGTCTCTATTTGTACACATTTCCTCATAATGTGCAACATATTGAAGACAATTATCCCTTAAAAAAATGAATTGAATCTTCAAACTTGGTTGGTGAAATACTGAGGACCTTTTTTTGCCAAATGAAATTGTTTGAGACTTCATGCTATCATTTTGCATGTTTTTCAGCACTCAAGCTCCCAGTCCGGGATAATATGAGCGATTTTGAACTAGGCTGTCTCGATACTGCTCCATAATCTTATAATGTAGGTCTTAATGATGAGTTTAGTGAAGAACCAACATGAGAAGTTTCATGCTTTAGTAACATTGTATCAGCTATTTGACTTTAATAGCCCCACTACTGCCGCTTAAGATTCAATTTGGGCGATTCACAATGCACTGCGCCACCAAGATTTTGCCACGGAGAGTTCGTTTTTCAAGGTCACAGACGACAAAACATGGCCCAATTGAACGAGTGTCAGTAGGAAACCTCCGCTAATTTGTTATAGATTGGGGCAAAGCGTTCTGCCGCCTTAGAAAAAAACCTCGATATTGATAAAACGAAAAGAAAAGGGCAAACAGATGAAAAAAAACTAACAATTTCATATGTCCCGCGCTGCGAGTGACTATCTGAATCAACTTCAAAAGCTATAACACGTATCACACTTCTAAGATCTAGAGAACTCCGAATCTGTTTTAAGTAATTGAAAAGTCAGCTAAAATTTGAGAAATCACAAACGTTCACCTAAAATGTGACAGGATTGAGTCATAATGATATCTCCTCTGCAGCTTAAGAAAAGAAGTCCCATTGAATAATTTGTCGAACAATATTTTTAACAACCACTAAATTTGGTAATAATTATAGCAACAACAAAAAAAGAACTACACATAAACATGAAAATATGAAAATTACACATGACATTGTTTTCACGCCATAGCTTTTGTATGAGCTACCACCAATTGCTCTTGCTAGTGCACGTTGCATTCAAGCCAACAACAAACTTTACAATCTAAAGCAATTCTTACCAGCAGTAATCTTCCCAGAAAACTAATCCCTTTACTTGTCAAATGTCTAATTTCCGTTTTGCAAGCAGGAATATTGAAGTTGTTTGGTTTGAAAGCAATCGAGGTTTGGTGATAAGTCATGTTCAATACCATATTAAAATTTAGATATAGTTTGCTCTTTTTAGGCATTATTTTACAGTTTTCAAATCGCAACTCATTCAAGGGGGTTTAAATATCACAATTAATATAACAGCTTTGTCTGCCGCCCAAACAAATAATATAGTTTTAACCAGTGAAAATAAAGTTTACTTCATATCCTTGCAGCATTGTAAACGTTACCATACATTACGATACACCTGTTACTAAAAAGTTCGTTCGAGATTTTGCACGAGCGATGTCCTGGTTTGTAGTTTATAAATAAGTTGATTTTCATCGATATTTATTGCACGTCATTTTGGTACAACTGTCTTATTCAACTATGAGCTATTTTGTTAACCAAATTTGGTCTGATCAACAAAATCTAGTAAAAATAAATGCAGCATATTTCAGTTGGAAGCATTCCGATTCGTCCTAAATTCGGTAAACTCGTCTTCTGTGGTGATGGGCAATGATTTGAATAAAGCAATTATTTTATTTATTGTGTTGGTCATTCATATCAATATTGTTGTCATCGAATTTCGTTTCTGGTAATTTGTGTGATACAAGTATTAAAATAGGTAAGAAAACCTTTACAAAACTACCATCTTGCCAAAGCTAATCTTAAAAAATCGCGAAAGCAATGTACAATGCAAGGCTAGTGCGAACAATATTTAGACTTATAAAACGTGCACAATTAGATTGATATATTACATTTTTTTCACTCTATATCTTCTGTACGATTTACCGCCATAGATAAACACCAAACAACAGTACTTGCGAGCATTAATCGCATTCAAAACAAATTATACCTTCGACCGTGTTCATAATTTCGAAGAAAGTTGACGAATTGCCTAATCATTAACTGTCACGTACCAGTTTTACTATTCCAAAACAGAAGTGACTTTCTGACAAAACTAACCCCTTGACTTGTCAAATTTCTGATTTCAGTTTTGCAAGCAAGATTGTTTAAGTGGTGTGGTTCAAAAGCAATCCAGGCTTGGTGATAAGTCATGCTCGATACCACATTAAAATGTAAAATTAAAAAGATACAGTTTGCTTTACATGCATTATCTTTCAGTATTCGAATCTTACTCAATCGAAGAGTTCTATAAATATCAAAATTAATAAACCAGCTTTGTCTGCCGCTAAAAAGAAAACAATATTTTTAACCTGTCGCGCAAAAATGAAAATAAAGTTTACTTCATATCCTTGCAGAATTGAAAACGTAGACAACTTTCTGAACGTTGATCACTTGAATCAATATGTAAAGGTTACCATTCATTACGATATAACTGAAACGTTCTTTCCTGAATCACCGAACTGCATCACTTAAAGTTGTTGGCATGCAGCACTAAATCAACTTTAAAATATAAAATAGTTAACACAAGAGAACACGGACTATGTTATGAGTAAATATGTTTTAAAACGTCAACAACAAATTTGAAGATTTACAAACGATCATCTGAAACTCGGGCTGAATGTACGTTAATTCAAGATAAAATTATGTTGTCGAATCACGGAGAACCAGATTCTATAAGTGCAAGATTGTGCAAATAATGTTAATACTTCTAATCTGTGCTCAATCAGATTGATACATGATAATTTTTTCAGACTCAATTGCTGATTTTATGAGCTACCACCTCAGAAAAAAAATACACCAAACCTTGGTCCTTGCCACCGTACATCGCATTCAAATCAAATTATAGCTTCAAACCTCACAATAACTTTGACTAATTTTACGAATTACATAATCAGTAACTACCACTAATATACGAAGTTTATTTTAACACAACCAATATTGTTTTACTTTCCAACCAAACAAATTCGATTATCTAATTACAATTTTGCCAGCGATATTATTAAATGGGAGTGGTCCAAAAGCGATCGAGGCTTAATAAAAAGTAAGTGTTGACACAACAATATTAACGAACATTTAAAATTACAAGTAGATAGCGTTTGGCATTTACAAGCGTCTCTTGTACAGTTTTTAATTAAAAACCTTATATAAAAAAATATATATATTTTCCTCCAAAAGGTGATAGCAATGTTAGCATTATATCTATGCAAGCAAGTAACAGCCAGCTAAGAGATGCTGTCATCTTATTAAGGGGATGTTTTGTAGGTTTAATTACTCTGTTTAAGACCGCTTGGAGTCTGGGTGCTGATAATTACCCAAGCCTAGTTCATACCGACCAACAACATATTTATTCCCATTCATAAATACCTTTTCGTTCAAGAAATCTAAAATTTTCAGTCACAAAACCCCGATTTTGTTCAACAAGTTCACTTCATGTTTTTGGAACATCCCTCTAGCTAAATAATGGAGTGTCCAGCTCGCAAATAAGATGTAAACAAGACCTTTTATGGAGATTGGCGCTCACGTCGCGCGTACTGCGCGGTGTCGCGCAGATTGCATTCACCTGGGGCGTTTCGTTGTGAATTAAGGACTACAAAATACTGACTCACTGGTAGTATTGCGCATGCCTACATGAGGATTGTGAATGTTCACCCAATAAAACAATTAAAGGCACAGGATTTTTAGGAGTCGAAATTTCATGTGACACTGGAAAAGTGTTTTAGACCAGCTAGCCATGTCTTTACCATCCGTTAAGACCGGCCACGTGACGGGCTTTCGACCACTAGGAATGGCTAAACTGTCTTAGGTGTTTATGAATTAATGTTAATCGTTTACATTAAAGGGAAAATACAACATTTGCAAACATCAAAAAATAAAACTACCAAATCATTTTGAAATACCTTGCTGGACTGTTAGTGAATGACAGTGTAAAGCATCCTGTAAAATCATGGCACCTGCATACTGTCATTTTCAAGAAAACTGGTATTTTTGTATCAATTTCCAACGCTGATCGGCCGATCAGCGTTGGAAAAAAATGGTTTTTTTCCCAAATACTGGCCCCAGTTGACCATCACACTTGTTTGCAATCGATTACACACCTATGAACGGGTACAAGCCAGCTAGACTAGTTCCCTGACCTTACAATTCCCCAATATATGTAAACTGCTCTGTTTATTCTTAAATGGAGTCAGGGAACCATACTACAGGAAAATGATTGTTTTTCTTGGTTTTTATAGCATTTTCGAACCCAAAACCTCAAAAAAGTCAGTGTAACTATATTTGCTATATATTTCCAACCCCCCAATTCCATCCATTTCTGAAAATTACAGCAAAAGCAAATGATGTATATTCCCTTTAATCATTAAACATATATTTTTTTGGTTGAACGTTCATAATACTCTCGTACATAAGCATGCACAATACTACCAGTGAGTCAGTATTTTATTGTCCTAAATTCACAACACAACGCCCAGGTGCATTCTGCGCGCCATCGCTCAGTACGCGCGACGCGCGCGCCAATCTCCTTTTAAGGTAGGGAGTTGTAGAGGGACAATCCATATTATAGTCAGAGTGGTGTTTGATGCAACATGAACTAGAGGGACAATCCATATTGTAGTCAGCGGGGTGTTTGATGCAACATGAAGCAAATTTGTTGAGCAAAATGGTTAGCAATGTCTAGTTTGGACTTGTTTTGATGTTTGGACGGAAACTATTTTTGTTTGACCAAAAAGGTATTTATGAATGGGAATGTATGTTCGGTCGGTATTAAACACTCTGTTTAAGACCGGTTGGAGTCTGGATGGGTGATAATTACCCGAGGCGAAGACCGGTTGGAGTCTGGATGGGGGATAATAACCCTCGGCTTCGCCTCGGGTAATTATCACCCTTCCAGACTCCAACCGGTCTTAAACAGAGTGTTATTATACCTCCCGAACACACACTTATTCCCTTACTAATAAACCCTGCGCTGAGCGCTCAAAAATATCTCGGTCTAAGTAAACAAACGGCTAAAGCCACACTCTGAAAAGCTCATAAAATTCCTCGGAGAACATTATTCTTTTGCTCAACTACACAAAGCTATTTAACGAAGTTGAAGTTAGTTTGTTTTAGCTAAAAATGTTGGTTTTTTTTGGATGAACTCGTCCACCCTTACCTCAAAACAGACAAATGAATAATAACCTTTATTCTAGTTCAGTTACGGCTGGTGTCGAACCTCCGTCCTTCAGAGTTCCAACTCGTCGGTTCTCCACCAGAGTGGTCTCCTTTTTGGCCACTATATTTGTTCTCTGTCGCTTTTTATAAGCCGCTTTTCATACGTCGAAAGTCTGTTGTTACATGAGTATTTTAAAGC